TCACGATAGGCGTTTCAGGGACAGAAAGGAAGGAATCGAATCATTCCTCATTTGCATTTTTGATTAAAACGTCTCTGGCCTTATCCCATAACAAAAAGAGGCTTGTTCGGAAATTTATTCGTGGTCGACCTAATCCAGTTCATTCAACGGCTTTAAAAGGGCATTAACGAGCCACCTAGTTAAGCTAAATGAGGTTATAAATGAATCCACTTAGATTATTTTCTTTTAAATTATAACTTATTAATTTAAAATTTAGGGAGTGCAAACAGGTTTACTTATCCCTTGCATGATGCTCCTTTTATCTTAAATCTTTACTCTGAATTGTAGTAGCTTCTCTTTTTCGTTCGAATCCTATCCCCTTATTGCTAACCCATTTCTTGCATGCTCTTCTTTTGATGCTAGGCGCACTTCTTCGTCTCCATGGCGAAGTTATGTCTATCCGTTTTCTTGATGCGAATGGCGATTTAGCTGGTCATCCTATAGAAGTCTGGTCCGACAATGCCACTGGTTCTGAATCAGAATCCGGTTTCGATGAAGCCATTGCTGCTTCCCCTGGCGCTGATCATAGCGCCACATCAAGTTCTCCCTCTTGCTCTGTAGTCCTGCGTAGTCACGATGTTAGTGGCAGCGAGGATTTATCATCTGCTGGCCGCATAGGTCGACAGGCCTTTGCTTCAGCACTCTCTTACTCCTCCTCTTCCTCCTCCTTCGTAGCCTCCGGTGCTTGTGTCAGCGCTGGAGGAACGGGCACTAATTCTACGCCTGCTACTCTCCCCTCATCAGCCTCACCCTTGCCTCGACTTGGTGGCTGTGCTGGCCCCACGGCAGCCATGAAGCGTCTGGGCGCCTCTCCGGCTCCTGTTCCGTCTTCAGCCCTACTTAGCGCCTCCTCACAGACATCTGCCTCATCAAGCGTCACTCGACGTGAGCAGTTTGGTCGACAGACCACTCTAACAGGTGCTCTGGGATACTCGAATGCTGCTTCACCCCGTACGAGCACAGCCCAGAAATCCAGTATCGGGCTTTGTTACTATGGGCTAACACAATGGACATTTCTATATTTTTCGTCCCCCCCTAGAATGTTCCTACTCATCATGGAAGAATAGATATACTTGGCGATTCTATCAACAGTTTGATAAGAGCTGCTGTATAAAGGATTCATCTTGGCTTTCTGGCCTAACATATAGTTGATGTCTTAATAAAATGAATTGGTGTTTAAAGTGTTATGAACTAATGCAACATATACAAAATCAAGACTTGCTATTTATTCTGCACTCTTTCATATATTACTAGCTGCTATTAGGGTTATCTGAAATGGCCGCATTTACAGATCCCCATCTAGTAAAGCTCGAAATTATATAAATTAAAACAATTTTTGGCATGCTTCTTAGTTCAACCTTAATATCGGTGATCCATCCTTTACTATGCTGAGCTTCGAAATTTGCAAAACGAGATTTGAATCCTTTTTGGGGCGCAGCTTGACTCCGTTATTAGATTATAAATTGGCCAGCTCTATATTCATTCTTATTGGCTAAGACTACCATAACTATTGGTGCAAAAGGCGGACTGAATACTAATAAAAGTTCATGAGTCGGCTGTTCGTGAATGCCAACATATCTTCAGCCTGCTCACTCAATATTTTATATCCTAATTAACTAATAGAAATGTGCTCGACAACCTATTCCTTTATGGTACGTTCGTCTGTTTATCAGTTAACTAGGTTAGGAATCCAATACCAGCAATTTTCTTTAGATACTTGATTAAATTGTTCACTTCAATGTAATGCGATGAAATGAGTATCCTGATGGATCAATTCAACCTTGTAGAAAATCTTTTGTCAGAAATTTTAAAGATATTTTTAATGGCTCTTAATATTTTTAAATGAAATAAAAGCCTTTGTAAAGTTCAATATTATTTGGCGACGAGTATCAGAAATTTTTTTCC